AGATAAGCACAAGCAATAGCACGGCGAGCGGCAAGCTAACGTGGTAAACTGGCCTGCTGTTTATCAAAAAAAAAAGGCCTGCTGAAGTGCTGAACAGAGCCCTTTCTCTGGCCGGAGCTTGCTCAGCCGCTCTAAAAAAAAAAACTCACCAAAAACGAGTCAAAATAAGTCCGGCTGGCCCAAGATTTTAGCCGCAACTCGAGCAAAACAAGGGTAAACTGCTCCAGCTGAAAACCACTATAAATCGATTATATTGGAAGTATCTCACGAATTTCAGAAAACCGAAGACCCTAGAAGAAAGGGGAAATTTTGAGGAAGCACAAGCTCACGGTGCTCAAGCGAGAGATTAAACGGGGAAATCACCCTAGCCTTACTCAGATGTGTCCTAGCAGCTATTTGCCCCCAAGAAATCTGCATCAAATTGCAGTCTAAGTCACAAGAACGAAAAATCCCCCAAAAAAAATCCTCCAAAAATCACAGAAAACGGAAAACTTCAGATTTGGAGAGGAGAATAAGTGACGCACGAAATTGATCCTTGGATTACATTTCACGCAACCCTGATGCTTCGCTTCAATGACTGGTCCATTTAAAATTTAAACTTTGTAATTTAAAATTTTATGTTTAAAATTTAGGAACTTTATGCTACCACGTTTAAAACTTTGTAGTTCAAGATTTAAAACTTTATAATTTAAAATTTTACATTTTAAATTCTGGAACTATATACTAGCACATGAAAAACTTTATACTTTAAGACTGAAAACTTTATAATTTCAAACTTTATTTTTAAATTTGAGGGATTTATAGTAGCACATTTAAAACTTTGTATTTCAAGCTTTCAAACTTTATATTTTAAATTCAGGAAGTTTATACTAGCACGTTTAAAACTTTATGCTTTAAATTTAAAACTATGTAATTTAAAACTTTATTTTCAAAATTCAGAAACTTTATATTAGCACATTTTAAACTTTGCATTTCAAGATTTTTAAAACTTTATAATTTTATATTTTATATTTAAAATTCAGAAACTTTATAATAGCATAAAACTTTATACTTTAAGATTTAAAACCTTATAATTTCAAATTTTACTTTTAAAATTTGAGAACCTTATACTAGAATATTTAAAGCTTTGTATTTCAAGGTTTAAAACTGAAAATTTTCAAACTTTATGTTTTAAATTCTGAAACTTTATACGAACACATTTAAAATATTATAAACTTTGTACTGCTAGGTTCAAAACTTTGGGATTTCAAAACTCTACACCTAAATTCAGGAACTTTATACTAACTCATTTAAATCTTTGTACTGACATGCTATGAACTTTGTACACATAAAATGGAACTTTGTAATTTGGAACTTTGCACCAAGTTTTGGAAACCATTTACTACCACATTTGAAACTTTGTACACCTAAGCGCAAAACATTATAATCACAAAAATTATCTCCAAACATATCCAACGTGGGTCTACTTTTGTATATCTCGTAATAGTGTAAACAGAATTAAAAATAGATATTTCAAGAGAAAATTATCATATTTTAAAGTTTATACACCGTTTGCATATTTCAAATAACATGATCTGACACACTCCCACTTGCGTGTCCTCCCCTCTAGATTTGTGCGCCACGTGTCCGTGCGCTAAACGCTTAGTTCACCCTCCACGCTCAGTCGTCCACTCCAACTTGCGCCACGCGTCCATGCGCGCTGCTACATGTCCCAGCGCCGCGCCAAATAGTAATTGGGCACAAACACAAACACGAACCTTTTGTAGCTAATATATAAGGACGGTAAATAAGTGAAACGAAATGAAAAAAGAAAGAAAAAAGTCCATATTACCTTCCTTAACTTTTGCGAAAGTCTGTCTTTTCTCCCTGAACTCTAAAACCGGGTACACCATCTCCCTGAACTTTTAAAATCGTTTGTTTTACCTCCCTGGCCGGTTATAAGCGGTTTTCAAAGATGGCTTTGTCTTTTTCATTTTTATTTATTTTGGCTGAATCTTTGAAAAATCATAAAATAGAAAATCCAATTTTGTTGGACTCCGTATGAGTACTACACAGTGAACATATAATATGGTATTCTTTAGTATTAATTTTTTGTTATAGCCTTAGATTTATGCTTTTCTATAATTAATCCATAACTGCAGTTTCTATGGTCCAATTGTGGAGAATCTTTTATGGTGGATAATTGTTGTATGCTTGAATTGTAGTAACAATTTCATACTCATTGGATCATGTATAACTTAGTTAAATCAAGCATGTTATATATCAAGGATTATGATGATTGCTCACCTGAAGAAGCTGAATTGTTTGAGAGAAAAAATTGATACTTGGAACGCTTTCTTCTGGTTGAGTTGCCCAAGAATGTGAATATGTATACACCAAGGTAATTACATTTCATATTTATATTTTATGCACCTGTGTAGATTGTAGAATGTACTCACTGCTATCCCATTGTGGTACCAATTCATGGCATGCGATTGAATTTATATAGCATGTTTCTCCTTTTTTTTCATTTTCTAATGACTATTCCTTAGTTTTCTTGTGTGCTCCAAAAGAAATACATTGAATCAGTTAATAAGAGTAACAAATTTAAAATGTGTTTTATCATTTGTGTTGCCTTTTAGCTTTAGATGTGTATCTATAGTTCTATTATGTCACCTGTCTCATCTCTTTTTTGCATTTTGCTGTCTTCAGTTTCCTTCGTTCATGAATCAGTTACAGGAAGAAATTTGAACTATACCAAACATCAACATTATGCCCATGCATAGCCTGCCTGTAAAATGCCTAATTCATCATAATTTCCTCATGTTCCCACCATGCTTGGTTCTGCAATTTTATCTCATTATCTATAACCTCAGCAAGTCAGCAGCTCCTTCAACACCACTGCCTATAGATCCTCCCACAGCACCACTGTTGCTCCATCATCCACGGACAATTCCAGTCACATACATCTCCAGTGGCCAATCTCCCATCATCTCATGAGCTACTTGTGTTGCTGACAACTAGCTTCAGTTTCAACTCGTTAGCCAGTGTCAACATTTTTTGTCGAAAAAAAGAACTATGCATGTGTAGCGTGTCTACTTCAGTATCAGCATTAGTTCCAAAGTGTAAACATGAATCTAACTGGCTAGCATTTCTTCCTTTTCCACATCACAGCTCGCCTTGAACCAATGCGATACACTAATATAATCTACAATGAGGGTTATGAGCACCGGAAGAGTGCCACAGCGAGATACACTAACATAATCTACAATGAGGGTTATGAGCACCGGAAGAGTGCCACAGTGAGATACACTAATATAATCTACAATGAGTGTTATGAGCACCGGAAGAGTGCCACAGTGAATATTTTATCCGTGAAGATAGCATCATCGGATGGGATGTCGGTTTCCCTATTGATGTGTACGGCACTGTAATTTTCAGAGACAGCATTGATTACAAGTGTGTTTACCTCTTCCATCGTGAGAAAGATAATTGTCAACCCATCAACGCAAAGGTAAGTAGGATCAGGCACTCCCTTCTTGCCTATATATAGAGAAAAAAAATCCAATGATCATACTTCTGCTATTTTTGTACTGTTATCCCTAGTAGTCGCCATTAAATATATGCAGCCTTCTAGGTGCTAGGCATCCTCTTGTTCTGAATGTGTATGTTGCTGATCAGTTAGCATAATGTCAGATGACCATGTTGTAGCTAGGGGTGAAAATGGTACGGATATTTTCCGACCGTATTCGAGACCGAATCCGTTTAGAGGGGTTCAGATCTGTCCATATCCGAGTCCGGGTATTCAACATCCGACACCGTATCCGTATCCGAATACTCAAATTGCATATTTATGATGTCGATATTAAATCATATCCTATCCGACATGGTTGACACTATCCGTATTCGAATCCGAATCCGGACAGAAATATAAAAACAAATATAATATCAGTAATATCCGTCCGTATCCGATCCGTTTTCATCCCTAGTTGTAGCCTTAATAAAGGGCACATGTTCAAAACAAAGCATATTCTTGTTCTATGTTTGTTTCTATAATGTTTCTTTTAGACAGGGATTCTTTAGGTCCATAGTAGTTGATAAAATCATTTCCATATCTTGCTTGCTTATCAATTCTGTCATGCACGTCTGCTTCTTATTGAACTTCATGATACTAGCATTTTGAGACATGTACTGATATCACTATACACGTGTACAGATAAATCGCTGGACTATTAGCAATGGCATCAGTTCATCTATGCATGCCTGAAATTTAGTGTGCTTTCATTTGTATTGGACAAATATATATATCGCTACAATATCATGTTTTAACTTCTCCATAGGATGAATCATTGATCTTGACTGGCCCAAAATGAGGACTCTATTTACTAGTTGATGTACTGTCACACGCCTAACGCGGGTCGTACTCATCGGCGGAGAAAACGGGCCAACTTGGGCCCAAGAAGGGGGCGCCGCCGCCGCGCCAGCCGGGCCTCGCGGCCTGCCTTAGGCCGGGTGCGCGCCCAAGGAGGAGGGGGGCGCCGCGGCCGCCGCCGCTGCCGTCGGTCCCGCCGTCGTCATCAACAATTACCATATCGAGTCCCAGTTAGTTTTGGAAAGAGTTGGTTAAGATTGGGGAGTTGAGTTTGTTAGATGGAAAGGAGAATCCGAATCCGATAAGGATCTCCTAGAGTTGCTTAGAGGTCAAGTCCTACGAGGACTATAAATACTAGGGAACATGTAATCAATCGAATCAAGTAATAGACGAGCGAAAGCTCTTTCCCTATCTCTCTCTACGCGCGCCGTTCCATCCTCCTGCCCGCCGCCGCCGCCCACGCCACCCTCTGCCCTAGCCGCCGCCCTACACACTCTGCCGGCCACCCCCCGGCCAAGCCCCTGACATGTACATGTTGAGTTTGATTTGAAGATTAAGGATCGTCAGGTGCAAGTCGATATTTGGACAGATGTGAGGTTGACAGCGACGAACTTGATACCAGGCTCAGTGCCTCAGTACCATAGAGGTGATGTATGCAGTTGTGAACAATGCAGTGGAGGCTACCATTGCAGTTGAAGTCCTGAGTAGAGAATTTTATGGAGAAATCACTGCTTGCACCACCGGGGTCCCTAATCATCTTGTGCTTCATGATAGCAAACTGGCTGGTGTGATGAACAAGGACAACAGCACCGGTAGAGGTGTTATCCAACTATTGCAATCCGTTGTATCTGTCTCTCTGGAGGAGATGCTGGTTTTGACTATCGTGGTCAAGACTGGTGATGCTGAATGTGAAAGAACCATCACTTTTACTCCACATATCAATGGTGGAGACGCAGATGCAATTACTCTTGGTGTAACCAAGATGTTGGTGAGGGTTGCTTGGTCACTGATTCGTCTTTAGTTCGTAGCTCTAAGCTTTACTGGTTGTCTTCTTAAGTTATAATGACTATATGTTGGGCGCAATGTATCGACTGGTATATTGTGATGTGCTTGTTATGTTGAACTAGTGTGGTAGTGTGTAAGATTATCTTGCTAGTACAGTGGAAACTGGCCTCATCCTAGGCGTGACTAGTGTGGACTTCTATCCAATCAGACTGACCTGTGTTCTGATGCTGAAACTAGTGAGAGATTATTTTATTCTGTTCAGTATTATCGAGGAAAGAAGATTGTTCGATTAGCGTTGTTTTTTTTTCCTTCAGCATCGCTCTTTACAATGCAAAACTCTACTTGATCTTCCTCCAACCTTCTCTCTCCTGCTTCTAGAACCGTTTAGAATCGCCCATATGATGTGGATAGTCATAGTCTTACCTAAACGGAGGAAGAAGTATTTAGTAAATTGAATAGGAATCATAATTTAAATAGAAAGGACAAGTCTCGCTCGTCTGCTTGGTTTTCGATTTTAATTTTCTTCATCACTAATCCGTGTCACATACGGCACGGGTTTTCTATTTTTGATTATTTTCCCACACAGATTGTTTCCTATTTTCACAAATCACGTCTATATGTGCCTATGTTACATTGTTTTCGATCTTTCTGAATGTTTCCTGTTACTGAATATTTTATTTTATTTTTCTCCAAAGGCCCACATTTTCACGGCCTTTTCCCACAGGTGCGGTCGATTTTTTTTTATCGTGTGTTTCCTGTATTTTTCATACAATCACTTGTTCATCTTTCATTGGTTGCTTCTTATTCTTTATGTTTTTCCCACCTCACAAAAAATGCTAGGAGTGCAAGAAGACTATATATAAGATATAAATCTCTCTCTCTCTCTTTATATATACCTAACATTAAATACAAAGCCAAAATTTATTTCCTTATTTTTATTCGTTTGGTTCTCCATAACTAACTTTATGAATATGAAAAATGTCTATATTCGTCTGACATATACATGGTGTAGACACAAACAGGTTCTTGAGGTAACCTAGATAAATAGAGGCCCTAATTTAATAGATCTATCTGACTGTAAGTAATTTACATATAAGAATCATAATGAACGAGTTTTATTCTAATCCTATCTTACCCTTTGTTTTTTTTTCGTTTTTCTTTTCCTTTTTCACTTTTCTTTTCCTGTGTTTTCGTTCACCTCTGTGGTTTTGTTTTTCGTTCCTTTTTCCTTTACGTTTTTCTTTTCCTGTTTTTCGTCGCCTCCGTCGTTTTGGTTTCCGTTCTGTTTTCCTTTTTTCGTTTTTCTGTTTGCCTGTTTGCTAGTAAATTAAAACGGCTAGAGTATATCCTGTGTATATGCCACGTAAACAGTGCGCCTACCCGAAGCTCGTCACCAAGATCACATCGGATTGGATACGTTCCCCAATCCTTTCTTGGGCGGCGGCGTGTTCATGGCAGCACGCGGCGGCGGGGTGTCTGTGGCGGCGGGTGGCAGCGGCGTGGGCTACGACGAGGACGTCGGCGAGGTCTGGGGCGACTTGGAACCTTTCTTCTTTGACGAGGCGGAGGCAGTGGTTGATCATGAGAGGCGAATGCGGAGAGAACAGGAGGCGGCACGGCGGCTCCAGGCGGCGATCGCCAGGGAGAACGCCAACAAGGCCGTGCTGGCTAAGATCTCAGACTACGATCCAAAGCAGGATGGCGAATACTACAACCGATTTCACTTCGCCGACTTCTCCAAATTCGACCTCGACGAGGAGTGTAATAAATCAATCTTGTACTGCTAGCGTGCATCTACCTAGAAATTTAATTCATACAGTTATTATACTGCTGGATTCATTGAATATTCAGTAATCAATCAAAATATTATACTCTGCACACGGTGTTCTTTTTTTCTGAATAGAAAAACTATCCTGCTTGGTTGTGTTGCTGACAACTAGTTTCAGTTTGAACTCGAGTTAGCCAGTGTCAAAACATTTTTTATCGAAAAAAAACTAGGCATGTGTACTTGTCTACTTCAGTAGTTCAGTATCAACATTAGTTCCAAAGTGTAAACATGAATCTAATCGGCTAATGTTCTTTTCCTTTAAAACATCACAGCGCCCCTTGAACCAATGAGATACACCAATATAATCTACAATGAGGGTGATGAGCACTGGAAGAGTGCTGCAGTGAAAATTTTATCCGTGAAGATAGCATCATCGGATATCTCTATTAGTTGTCGTTTTTCATCAAGTCTTTGTATCAGGCCTTTTTTAATGGTTCTATTACTTTCGAGCATTGGCGTCGAGTTTGGAGATCATGGGCTCCAGCAAAATGCAAACTTTTTCTTTGGTTGGCAATAAAGAATAGGTGTTGGACAGTTGACAGACTCGCGAGGAGAGGTCAGGAAGAGGAAAATATCCAGCATCTCCTAACCAACTGTGTGTTGGCACGGGATTTCTGATACTGGATTCTATCCGCGTTGGGACTGAGTACCTAGCTCTCATGAAATTTCCTTCGCTGATTGGTGGCCCAAAGCTACTAAGAACCTGCCAAAGGAAAAGAAGAATGGGCAAAACACGGTCATTATTATGGGGGCGTGGATCCTTTGGAAGCATCGCAATGCTTGTGTCTTCGATGGAGCTCCACCGAGGATTTCTAGCCTCATGCAGGTTTTCAAAGATGAGGAGGAGCTGTGGTGTCTCGCGGGTGCACGAGGCCTATGGACTCTCGGTCTATGTCACGGCTTGGGCTAGTTATTTCTAGTTTGTAAGGGTTATTTGGTCATGCCTCATCCTTCTGTTTTTGTAATCAAGTGCAAACTTTTTGTTTCATTCAACCCCTCATGGCTCGGCCCGAAGTGAGGTGGTGGTGTTCTTGTATGGGGCTGATCCTTTTTTCCTCCCTATAATAAAAAAGGTGTGCAGCTCTCCTGCACATTCGAGAGAAAAAAATCTCTATTAGTTGTCTCTAAACATATGCAGTCTCCTATGTGCTAGGCATCCTCTCGTTCTGAATGTGTATGCTGCTGAAAGGTTGAATTTTACATGCATGCCTCTGATCAGTTAGCATAATGTCAGATGACCATGTTGTAGCCTAAATAAAAGGCACGTTCAAAACGGAGCATATTCTTGACACTAGCATTTCTATATCTTACTTGTTTATCAATTCATCATGTACGTCTGTCTTCTTATTATTGATCTTCATGATACTAGCATTTTGAGACCTGTACTGTGTGCAAACAAATTTCTGACAATTACCAATGTCATATTTTGGCAACAATTCATCTATGCATGCCTGAAATTTAGTGTGCTTTGATTTGTATTGGATAAATATATATCACTAACATATCACGCAAACTTTTCCATAGGATGAATCATTGATCTTGACTGGCCCAAAACGAGGACTCTTTTTACTAGATGATGTATACGTTGAGATTGATTTGAAGATCAAGGATCGTCAAGTGCAGGAGGAGAAATAACTTAGTAAAGGATTCTTTAATATCAGGGGCATACCAAGTCGATATTTGGACAGATGCAAGGTTGAGCAAAAAACTTGCTACCAGGCTCAGTACCATGGAGGTGATGTATGCAGTTGTGAACAATGCAGTGGAGGCTACCATTGCAGTTGAAGTCCTGAGGGGAGAATTTTATGGAAAAATCTTGCTTGCACCACCAGGGTCCCTAATCATCTTGTGCTTCATGATAGCAAACTGGCTGGTGTGATGAACAAGAACAACAGCAACGGTAAAGGTGTTATCCAACATTTGAGATCCGTTGTGTCCGTCTCTTTGGAGGAGATGCTGTTAGTGACTATCATAGCCTAGACTGGCGATGCTGAATGTGAAAGAACCCGTTGACGCTTAATTAGGTCACACACTCGATAAGGAGCTAGATCGCTCAATGTAGGACCTAGCCGATTTTTGGATCGGCCGGTGCCCAAGGGATGTCCACACTTGAACCTTGTGCCTCCAGCGATGAGCGCGATACGCAAGACACGCCGGCGAGGTCTATTGAAACCCGAAACCCCACACTCCCGGGAGGGACCCCACTGGCTATGGGCTGCTCTAGCCGGCCAAACCACTCTAGAGCGTCGTCATCGTCGATCCTCTAGCCATACAGCACCGACGAAGAATGAGGAGAAGAGGTAGATTGGGAAAAGAGGGTAAAAAGGGCTAGTAGATTGATTTGTTGTGTTTGTGTCGATTGGATAGATGAGATCTCAATCGGCCATGATCCTCTCATATATATAGAGGGAGTTGGTCTTATCCCAATAGAAAATCTCTCCAAGCCTTATTTTCCAAGTTTTTCACGAGTTTGGAATAGTTCGGATCGGAATCCAAAAGGCCAGATCCGAACATGATTTTCTGTTAGGTCTATCGGAAGTCTTGTCGGAACTCCCGACATATGTCAGAAGTCCCGACTTGGGTCGGAACTCCCGATAGTCAGAAGTCTTGTCAGAACTCCCGATGTCTGTCAAAAGTCTCGACTTTGGTCGAAACCCCCGACAGTTGGAAGTCTTGTCGGAACTCCCGACAGTCGAAAGTCTTGTCGGAACTCCGGACAACGGAGCACCTTTCGGGGCATACCTCCTTCATCCGGACTCCGAATTAGATGTTTCATATATGTTTTTTGTCCGTCTCGACGAGAGGAATGCAATGGTGAAGTCCGTTCCACATTTTGACAACTTCACAAAATGAACAGTTTTGGTTGTCAACATATACCCCCTGTTTTTAGGTGAATGATGCATGGACCTGAAAACACCTGTCAAAACAAAACCAAACAGCGACGATACCCTTCTCATCGGCTGCTCAGTAACTAAGGGCGATGTATACATTGGCTATTTTTTGTTCTAAGAGCGATACATATATCGGCCATTGCTTGGAGAGCACTTAGGCTTCTTGCCAAACACTTGGAAAATACTTTTTAAGTACCTCCCATTGAATGCTCTATTGAGACGTTCACCTTGCAATATCTCTAGTAGATAGGAATTTCCGAATATGACTCTGATCACTTTGTAAGGATCCTCCCAATTTGGTGACCACTTGTCAAACTAATTGCTCTTCGATCCAAATGGAAGTATAGTTTTCCACACTAATTCTCCCACTTGAAAGGATTTGCTCCTAACTTTCTTGTTATATGCCTTGGCAACTTGAGCCTTGTCTTTCTCTATTTCCTTAAGAGCTTTTAATTTCACATTAGTCACCTCATCGATATTATCCATCATCAAGTCATGATACACAACAACAGATAAATCATTTTGTTTAGCAAGCATGTATGTATCCAAATTCAATTCAGCGGGTAACACAACCTCTTGACCATATACCAACTCAAAAAGAGTAACTTTTGTAGCACCATGCCTTGAAATGCGATGCGCCCATAGAGCTTCAGACAAAACTTCATGCCGCCTCCTTGGATTTTCTTCAATCTTCTTTTTGATAAGCTTGATCAAAGTCTTATTACTAGATTCAGCCTGGCCATTAGTTTAAGCATAGTATGGAGATGAATTGAGCAACTTAATCTTATATAATTCGGCAAATTCCCTCACCTCCTTAGACACAAATGATGTCATTTGATCTGTAGTTAATGTTTGAGGGATGCCGAATCTATGGATAATATGCTCAGTAATGAACCCAATTACCTCCTTGTGTGCCATATTCTTCAAAGAAACTGCCTCGGTCCACTTAATAAAGTAATCTGTAGCAACCAACACAAATTGGTGTCCCTTTGAAGATGGGGGATGAATTTGGCCAATGAAGTCTAGCCCCCAACTACAAAAAGGTCATGGTTTGATGATAGGATGAAGCATAGCAACAGTTCCAAGCTGAATATTTCTAAACTTCTGGCACTCTTCGCATCCTTCGTAGTAACGAAAGCAATCAGCTACCATAGTAGGCCAGTAGAAATCGGCTCTACGCAATAACCACTTCATCTTCGGGGCCGATTGATGCGTACCATAAATGCCTTCATGGACATCTCCCATAGCCACTCTTGTTTGATCTGATCCCAAGCACTTAAGCAACAAGTCTTCGGCGGTTCTCCGATAGAGCTCATCATTATGCAACACATTTAAAAGCGTTCCGCCGAACACTTTTATCAATTCTAGCATTTGGATCACGTAAATGTCTCAATAAGAGAGTCATCCAATCTTCTAAATCGGCCCCAACATCATTAGAAGTTACGTCGGGCCGATTTGATAGCTTCTCGAGCGAATTGATCGGACTGGTCATAGGGGAGTCGGCTGAGCCAACTGGGTTAGTCGGCTTAGCCAATTGGTCTGTACCTACACGGAAAAATTTAAACTTTTATCCATCAGCTATTCTTGAATATGAAAATTACGCCCATCAATGTCATAGCCAGATGCTTCTTGAGCTAACATGTTGGCCTTTTGATTTTCATGCCTCGAAATATGCCGAATCCAAAATTCAGCAAAACAGTCAATAACATCAAAGCAAACATCAAGACAAGCTCTTAGTGATCCTTCTAAACATTGAAATTCACCAGCAACTTGTTGTACCACTAGCAAGGAATTATCATAGGCTTCAACATATTTTACCTCCATGGACCGCAACATGATCAACCCGAATAATAGAGCTTAATATTTGGTTTGATTATTGGAACAAGAGAAATCTAATTGGTTTAACATCCCAACTTCAGTGCCATTGGGAGAAATATGAATAATACCAACACCTTGGCCATCTTTACAAACCGATCCATCAAAGCACAATTTTCATGGAGTAAAAGTAAGGTAATTGACTTCATAATCTAAATCAATACCATGCTCAACAATAAAATCAATAAGAACT